ATTGATCATTTCAAAAGACACATACTTTGACAAATTCTTAACAGATTTTTGCGAAATTTTTACTGAAAATAAGACAACAATAGAACCAAAGGAAATGGAACATTCCTTCTTTTCCATTATATATCTAGGGTCATGCAGCATTGGGAACGGAGGCTTTTGAAGCACTACGTTGTTTTTACAACAGAGATAATATTTCATTTTCATTTCAAGCCGATGAATACAACGGAAAAACCAAGATTCAAACAGCGGGTGGTTACGATCAACACTAATTCGAAATAATGCTCCATTAACGGCAGCTGAAAAAGAAAACTTGAACAGTCGAATATATTTGGGTGTTCACTGGCGTAGTAGTGGGGTACGAAAATGTACTCTCAGCCAAGAAGTAGCACGCGAAATTTTTCGTCAACTCAATTAAATTTCATTTCTTTTTTTTTCTTTCTAAATAAAGAGAAAACGTCATAAAAGATGATACAGTCATTATTTCGTCAAATATTCTGATGCGATTTCATTTGAAAGAGTTAATTTGAGTCTCAATAGTTTTTCCACTCAATCCACTATAATGAAATATGAAAACTAATGCAAAAGAGCAAAGTTTATTTTTCGTTTGGGAACGTAAAAAAAGGGATGAAACTATGAATAGATATGAGTGTGAGTTTGAGCTTGGATATTGATTAGAAGGGTTCGACAGGCACAGCTATAAAAATGCTCCCAACCACGCTTTCCTCTTATGTTAACTGAGAACGAACGTTGAGGATACTATAACAAATTTTATTAGCTGAGATGCATACAGTAAACAAAGCTAGAGTGGATGAAATTGTTCGGAAGACAGATGAAGACCGAGATAGTGTCCGGTATGATTATAAAATCTTTTTCATTAAATCGCTGTCGAATTCCTTTACTCCATAGCCGCGTTTCCATGTACCCTCCCAAGCCATCTCTTCGATCTTCCAGAATCCACTGCTATCGTACTGTGTACGCACATCGTCTTCCCACACACCGTGAAAGCTTGAATCAACGCAGAGCATCCACATGAAGCTCCATTCGAGGATGACAGCGATTGAGCCAATCGGATCGAAGAACAGTCATTGTTCCTTAAGCAGATTCATTATTGCTGTGCTCGTTAGATAGCGTTGCCCATTCCGTGCACCAATACTATATCGATCCAAAATTTTCTCGAAGTTAATATGTCGATCGAACTCACCAGTAGTGTCATACACGCCAGTGTGCGAACCGTGTTCCGCCTTGTGTATGTATTTGAATCATATTCGAAAGAATGGGTCGGGCAGCATGGTGAACCCTACTCGCATGGGATAGGAGAAAGCACCATGAATAGGTATGGCGGAGATAAAGGACATCAAGTGATTGAAAGTGAGATGGCGAAGTCCCACATAGATGTCCGTCAAAGTGACTGTACCGTCATTGTCGTGATCAAAGAAGCCCACGTGTCCTTGTAGTGCTGTTCTTTCGCTACGTTGTTTCATGAGAACTGAAAAGTAATGATGGTTGCGCAATACACGATGTTGCTGATAAGCCTAATAGAATAAAAGAAAAATAAAAGCGCAAAACTGATGCTACATTCTCTATTTTAGTCGAAGGAGCTCACTGAAAAGTGAAGTGAACCGAATGACTTCATGTAAGTTTCGTCATTAAGTCGACACGATTGGCCGACAAGAAAACAATAATATTTCAAGACGTCAGTATGCACGGAAGACTAGAACATTACAGTGAATGATCACTAAAGATTGTTTTGATCTTTTTGTTTTGATATTAATTTCTACTTAAAATTCATTTTGTTTTCTTTCTGTCATACATTTCGTACACTCTTAATAACCCAGAATGGAGTCAACTGCGTGTAAGATAGAGACAAAGAAAAGATTTCCATTCAAATCTACTCTTCACACTAAAACTTACTCTATACTAGCATTTTGTAGGAGTTTTGATGGAAGTCGTATAGAAATGAAGAGAAATCGTTCGTTTCGTCTCATCTAATGGGTCACGAGAGAGAGTGATGAGTAATTTAATAGGCATTGCACTAGTAAAAGAAATGGTCACCTGAGAAGATAATTATTAAGTAATAAGTGAAGCCCAATGTAGATGTGTCTCTCATACTTAGATTATTATTTCTCTTACAGGAGCATCAAATAAGAAATGATTATCGCACGATTGAGTGTCAATCCTTTGGCTGTTACCAGAAGAAAAAATGCATTTTCATCCAAGATGGCATTGAAAATTCATTCTAGTTGTTTTATGAAACACACATATTTTTCTTTGATTCATTGCTTTCTCGTGTATCACAACCAAATTTGTTTCCATGAGTTGATTTATCAGTTTATATGAATGAAATGCATTACGATAGATTCGAATAAATCTATCCAGACATACATAGATGACTATATAGTTAAGCAAATCAGATATGTGAACGATATCGATCGACTAGCAGATGACGATGTCAAATCACACTTTGATACTCTTTTCTTGATCATCTTGATTATTTAGAACATCATTCTACTACCATCTACTACTGTTCAATCGAAGACAAATCATCCTGCACTCGATTTTGTTAGAAATAACAATTTTTTTCTGTTAAAAAGTCTTGAACGAATCTTGTTCTTCATATCTGATCAGCAAAACCCTGCATCTCATAGATTTGATCTTAAGAAATTTTGAGGAAAAAGTAGCCTACATTCAAGAACTACCAGAAGAACAAAACACCAATATTGAGAAGAAAACGCATAGGAATGAATCTACTTTTTTATTTAGTAAATACTCTTGTTCGATAGAGACATGGATGGATGTACCTATAGAAGTTTCATGCTATATATTGTCATGTTTTGTAATTTGACTCTGCTTTTGTTCTCACTAATCGTAGTTGAATCATTGTTAATACGGAAAAGAATATTCATTACAGTTAAGTTTTATATTTAGACAATTCTTCAACAAAATTTTAATCATGCAACGATTCGTAATGTAAACGATTTTCTTCGTTAGCTTTTTTTGACAGATCTCTTTCAAAACCTGATCTATCATTAACTAAATGAAAATTTTCGAGAATTTCACAATTTTGCTATGATTCGGCCTAATCTTCATAGAAATTCATTATATTAATCAATTTTTTTAAATCTTCATCGAATCGTATAATCCTTCTACTTTTTACTCTTGATTATTAGTGTCAGAAATAATAGTTTAGTTTATCATTAAAATCGAAACAAAACTTATTTCCACATGACTCCATTTACAAATCATCTCATTGCTGCCAGTGTCTTTTTTAAATTATTCTCGAAAAATACGCCAAAAATGCTCTAGATTATGGATAATCCATGATATTATTTGCTTAATAAAAACTTTGTGTTTCTCCTTTCCACTTGTTTCGGAAGTACTTGTATATATTCATCACTACTAAGAAGACACATCATATTAGAACAACTACAGTTGTACAGTACTCTTTAAACTATGCTTGGGATAGTAGTTTCATGGTAAGCACAATATCTGACCTCATTGATCGATCTCACTCGTATTCCTCACGAAATGCATCAAATCGTACCTATGTGACCTCACATGTTTGAAGTTCTCTTTCATTGGTTTTTATCACTAATCAGAGTTTACATTAATAAAGCTCTCTCCATCTACATAAAGGTATGCAACTATTTGAATTTTTCTTTAAAAGAAACAAATTTTTTTAGATGGTTTTATTTTTTTTTTGCTAAGTGCATTCTTACAGATCTATTTTATTCTATCGTAAACAATTAAGTTTTCGGCATTTACACTGTAACCAACTGTGTATAGCATAATAAAATATGGTTGTAATACTGTGATAAGCCAACATCAATTTACAGTTATATACGACCGTTAATTCCGTAAAATGACAGTATATTCATTCAGTGTCTTAGTATATGAAAGCTGTATACGTTTACCGTTTTTCTCTATATATGGTAGTAATGTTCTATATACACGATCATGCACGATCATCGTATGGTAAAATATAGATTCCCTATTCATAAATTTCGAAAGAAAAGGACAAACACAGTTCTATGAATACAAATTATATTATTTGAACGAACAAAAAACATTTAATTTCTCAGGAGTTTGATGATCATGCAGAATCTACAATATTTCAATACTCTAAAAATAAAATCTTTACTTGTATGGTCATTTGATTCATGATATAAATGATTTTTGATATTCCAGATTGAATATCACATTGATTTAGACGAATGTTGGATACGAAGTTGAACTCATTCAAAGTGAAAGCAAGCGAAATGTTCGTAATTTTACATTAAAAGCTAACGTTGAATTTGCACAAAACTATGCGAACTACGACATAGTCATTATGTTTACCTTTCCTTTGTTATTAACTTAGATAGATCTAATGATTATCGTCATAGTTGATGTTTACAACACTGTAGTCATAGAATCATCCTTCAAAGCTGGTATCTCCAATCGAATATATGCAAATAACAAGAAATCATAATGTATCAAGTCTACTGATCATAAAACCCATAACTAAGATAGCAGATAATTAACTTGAAGCAATGTGCTGATCCCGTATGTTTCTGGATTATTACTCGTTTAATAATTCCATTTTTCTGAAAATTGGATAAAAAGAAGCTTCGAAGTATGTCAAGGTTATTTTGTTGACTACTCGTTAGATCATTTAAACAATGACCCAAAATTCAGTTTTCTTGACATTTCAAGTCAAGTAGAAAGTTTTATTAACTGCATTGACTCTGAAGAAACGGCAAGAAAAAGAATCAGTCAAAAAATTTGATTGTATAATATCTTTTAATATCTTTTATATTTCAGTTAAAGGTAATAATTTTGAAGTTTGCTCGCATAAATAAAAACACAGCATCTTCACGGACCAGTGAAAAACAAGGATTAGTTAATCACAAACTTTTCAATTGTTGCTATGCTTTGAGAATCGATCCTGTTTTCAAAAGAAATGAATAAATAAGCATTAGAAATATTAAACCAAACTAAAATATATACATTCGAGCAATGTCTTAAGCTTGACCGTGTCCAGAAATAAGAACATGTTTATTATGAGAATCAGATAATGTACGCATTGGTGTTTGTTCAGGATGCATCTGTATTTAAATATATGTATGTTCAAAAAATCAAATAAAAAACATCAGAAACTTACAGTTACGCTAAGTACTGCTGATAAGTGCTTAGCTTTATCTGATTCGAACATACATGTATTTGAAACAAATAAAACAGGTACATTCAGTTGAATCAATGTTTGAACCGCTGGTTTAGCAACTGCAATAAAATTTGCACCTTTCATTATAACACCATGAATGTCCAAGAGACAGACTAAGTTCGACTATTAAAAGAAATATGTAACAGTAAAAAAACAAAATAAATTCAAATATGTATCTTACTGCTCTCATGAGGGAGATTATTAGTGCCAATAAACACTTGCTAACATTGTTCGAAGAAACAGATTTATTATAAACAATGTTCTTTTTCTGAGCAACACTAAGCAGATCGACGGTATTTATATACAGGTTTTGATAATAGGAAAGAGACATGAACGTGACAAACTTGTGATATCATGCCCAATATATTAAACTTCATTGTATGATTGTGTTCATAGGATCAATTTGTATTGTTTTCTTATGGCATGATATTATTCTGTTATTAGTACCTTCTTCTCGTTTCGTTCATTTTACAATGCCATGATATTGGAAGTGACGATAGAGAAGTAAAAAACGAAGTACACAGTTTCTTTTTCTTTTTCTATTTTGTTGAAAGACACAGTCAAGAACAACTCGAGTACGCTGTTCTTTTTATCCATAGAAACTAAGCATGTAAATAATGTCGTAAGTCTATTTTCATTTAAATGCGCTAAAAACACAAGAAATTTCAAAGATTAATAGCCACACCTTCAGTAGATGTTCACTGCATGCCAACAAATAAGTCAATTGTATCATTTTTTACCAAGTGTTATTTATATGAATATTCTTTGATTAGTCTGTATACTTTAATAATGATGAAATATATCTTTCATCTGAATGGGAAGCTTTGGTATTTAAATATTGTTGAACTCTTGTTTTGTTGACTCTTGATCATACCCTAGAGAAAGTACTGAGTTCAGGGTACCCATGTACTGAGAAAGCTCTAGCAGGGTACCCAATATGGGTACTTTGAAAATTCTCAGTAATTTTACTGATGTATGTACTGTGTGGGGTACCCGTACATGTACATTCACTGAATAAGTACCTGCATGGATACCCAAGTCTGTAACTTTACTGAGGAAATCTCGACAGGGTATCCTAAATTTTTCGCGTTCTGTGTGACGACTATTCATTCACCGTTTTCTTTTTTACGTACGGCTCTATATAAACAACTCGATAAATCATAAGAAAATAATCAATTTTCATACTATTTTTTTCTAAATTATTACTTGACTATTTCTTAGTCGAGGAAATGCCGAGCTTGGTCGTAAATTAAGATCGGACTACCCTAAAGTGGTCTACGACCAACTCAAGTTGAGTCGGATCCCGACATTGTTCCTGCTAAGTTTTGGAATTGAAAAAATTAAATTGAATAATGTAAAAAAAAATCGGGTAAATTATCTCAAGAAAAAGAAACAATTTTAAAAAGTTAAAGATCAGGTTCGATCCTGAACATACTGAAAATTTGGTAACAGGGTACTTAGAAATACTATACAATGGTACCCAATTCAGTACTTGATCAGTACCTTTAGGTACCCAATTACTGTGCATTTTCCAGCAGGGTACTTGCCAAAGTACCACTTAGGTACCTGTAAGTACCTGCAAGTACTTTGGTACCCAAAAGTTCCTGTGACATACTGGTATCAGGGTACTTTTTTGGGTACCCTTAACTCAGTATATTCTCTAGGGTAATTTAAACAAATAAATGAAATTTTTATTTTTATCAAATAAATTTTGACGTTAGACTTAGAATGTATCAAATAAACTATAATATTGTTTATTACAGGCTGTCTCTCATATTCATTTTAAAAAATTCTATCAACTTGTAATGATGAACCATATGTTCAATAAATTACATATTTTAACGGTATACTTGTTTTTACAACCAGCAGAGGTGAAATTAATTTGAATTTTTCACCACTTGTATTGGTCCGACTAGATTAAACCCAGCTGGACTGGGTGTTGATCCAGTGTGATTTTGAAGGTGAGTCTTCTCTTCAACTACAGCCACGTCCACGAATAAAGAAAACTAATCTTCAATGATCATAAAAAGATCATTGATAGAATTTTTAAAAGAAATTTCATATCAATAGTTAGCGAATAGAAAAAAATACATGATAGATGACTGACATATTTCTTGTAATCAGTTTGTTATTTAAATTAACTGAAGTCAATATTTTCTTTTTGCTTAATAAAGAATCTTATTGATTGATCCCACATTGAACCTATATCAGGCTGCTGTAGTTTTTCCTTGATGAGTATTGCTATGTGTTATATTTTATTACTAATTGTTATTCGTTAGTTTCATCGTTTTCATGCAATTATTTTACATTATGAACACGTGTCATATTTCAAGTATTTTTTCTGATAAGACATTTGGAAAGATTATGAAGAATAGAGTTAACGGACTACTTTCAATCTTACTTCATTCAAAATTTAATCTATTATTTATTTCGTTCACGTTGCTTTTAATTTATTTTTCCTTTTAATGAGATAGAAGTACTTTCAACTGATCTCTCCATATTAATACTAATAGTTGAAGCAATATTGGTCGAAACTTGCTTACATGATTCATATCTATATCTATACACTTTTAAAAGAGAAAAAAATCTCACTTTATTTTGTTTCTCAACACAAAAATGATAAGAAGAAAATGGTCACCAGTGAAAGCTATGGTAAATATTCCATAGTAATCGCAATTTCTACTTAAAAATTATTGTTACACCGATATATCTGATGTTTACAATCTACTTTTAATATCAAATAATTCATTAAGACAAAGTTTGAAGTTCAACGAATAGCACTAATACTTTTGCTAAACTAGTTTTTTTACACAAAAAAAGAATTACAATGAAAAATCAATTTTAACTTAAAAAAAAAAGAAGAGAAAACCAAATATTTCATCTAGATATTTTGTTGTTTTGGAATAATTGATTCATGAATAAATTTTTTTCTTCCTTCAGTAAAATCAGCAGCAATATCGCCATGACCTTGAACAATCCATTTTGTTGTTAATAAACCTTCAACACCCACAGGACCTCGAGCATGAATACGTCCTGTACTAATACCAACTTCAGCACCTATTTATGAATCAATTATTTACATTCTGTTTTATTCTCAACGATATATATATATATTTTTTTTTTCTTACCTAAACCAAATCGATAACCATCAGAAAATCTTGTACTAACATTATGAAAAACACATGCACTATCAATATTAGTAAGAAATTCATTAGCTGAATTTTCTAAAATAGAAAATCCTTAACATTCTTCTATTAACTTTGTAATTAAATAGTTACGATTTTCTGTTACAATTGAATCTGTATGATTTGAACCAAATTTATTAATATGTTCAATAGCATCATTAACATCATCAACTACTTCAATACAACATTGTAAATCTCCATATTCAAAACGTAATGAATTTGCTGGCGGTGGTGGAAATGGAAGTAATGCAGAAAGACGTGGACCTGAATAAACTTTAACCTAAAAAAAAACCAAAAGAAATATTTTCATTTCGTTGATAAATTATTAATTTACCTTTTCAGCACGAAATAAATCAATTAATGATTCAAAAAATGATGTTCGAATAAGATCTTTATGTATAAGTAATGTTTCCATAGCATTACATGCACTCGGATAATCACATTTAGAATCTCGAACTATTATATCGAAAAAATATATTGATATATAAACATTTAATAATATTTAATATTAATTGCATATCTTACCAACACGTAAAGCCATATCTAAATCTGCATCTTTATCAATAAATACATGACAAATACCTTCAGCATGACCCAAGACAGGTATTTGTGAACTTTGTTTTTGTACAGAACGAACAAGTTCATTAGAACCACGTGGTATAACCAGATCAATATATTTACCCAATTGAAGAAGATCAGCTACTTGTTCACGTGTACTAATCTAGAGAAAAAGAAATTTTTATATTTTTCAAAAGAAGAAAACTTAAATTACCAAAGCAATAGTATCACGAGGAACAAATGGTTCTAATGCATCTTGCATTAATTTTGTTAATATTTCATTTGAATGTTTTGCTTCTGAACCACCTTTTAATAAAAGACCATTTCCTGAACATATTGATAAAGCAACTATTTGTGGTAAACTATCTGGTCGGGATTCAAATATAACAAGAAGAACACCAATTGGTACTGTTATTTGTTTTAGCATAATTCCATCAGCTAAACGTGTTTGTCGAACAACTTGTCCTAGAATATTTAACAAAATTGGTTCCTAAATTCCAGCCGGGATTCAAATAATGAAGCTGCTGGTAGTTCGGAATTTATCTAATATAGATTTCATTTTATGACTTATAACTTGTTGTTATTCTATGTCGATTAAAGAGAAAAGGATTCTCCTAGAGCTGGACTAGATTAAAGAAGTTTCGGTCCATATCTACCCCTATAAAAAGCCTTATTTCTTAAATTAGTTACTACATTCTGTAGTGCTAAGTAAGACGACATAATTTTCAGGATATAAGCGGTAGATGACCGTACTGGAAAACAAAAGCTTTAAGCTCTCAGCTCTTAGCTCTCAGCTCTCAGCTCTCAGCTCTCAAATGTTGATGATGAAAGATGATAAATAAGTAAATTTAACGAACCGAGTATATCAGTTTTTTCAGCTATTTGTTGAAGACCAATTGACAGAGCTTTCAATTTTTTTTCTGATAGGTCAAGTCGATTAAGTAATGATACTTTAAGACCTAAAGCAAAATATTAAATATAAACATATCGAAAAATAAGAGCTCAAATTTTTTTTTTTGTGTAATTTTAACATTTCATTCATACGTACCTTCTTTCATTGCTTCTTCTACATCTTGTTTATTTGCTTCAAGAATATCTTGTGAATATTCAATTAAATTCGATGCCATTTTATTAATAATTGTTTTTCGTTGTTCTGCTGTTAATCTTTGTAATAGTCGACTACCATCACGAACTAAATGAATTCAAATTCATTTAAACCTTTTCTATCAATCAAACAAAACAAAATTACCTTTAAGAGCTTGAACATCAACTGGTAATGTTTCTGTTGGTGCATTTGTAAAAAATGTTCCAATTTTTTTCCCATCAATCATATTTAATATT